CCCTAAACCCTAAACCGGCTTCGGGCTTCGGGTGTTGCTGCTTGTCTTTGGCGCCGGACCGTGCGATCGTGCGAGGCCGAGAAAAGATGGTTGTCAATCGTCAACTGGCGAAACTGTCTGGTGCTTAGTAAGGAATNNGGAATGGGGGAATGGGTTTAGGGTTTAGGGTTTAGGGTTTAGGGTCTAGGGTCTAGGGTTTAGGGTTTAGGGTCTAGGGACTACTATGAGGGACCTTAAGGGACTATCATAGGGATCCATTCCCCCATTCCCTACTTAGCACCAGACAGGAAACCGTGGGCTTTGGGGTGTTAAGGGTTCCTGTAAGGGCTCCTTTAAGGGTTCCTTTAAGGGTTTAGGTTTGGGGTTTGGGGCGTAGGGGTTTAGGGTTTAGGGCTTTGGGTTTAGGATTTTAGGGCTTTAGGGGTTTGTAGGGTTTAGGTTTTAGGGGTTTGGGGAAAGTATAATACCAAGATAACAGGAACCTGCAGAACCCCAAGGAATATGAATAACAAGGGTTTAGGGTTTAGGGTTTAGGGTTTAGGGTTTAGGATAAGTTGATAAGTCTAAAACAAACATCAAGGAACCCTAGGCGGTTTAGGGTTTTGGGTGTCGGGTTTAGGGCTTAGGGCTAAGGAATAAAACTCCGTAGGGATTCAGGGTTCTACGTATTTTCTGTCTGGGATTGTCGCGCCGGTTGGCTCTATAGCTTCGATGGGCAGGAACCGAAAAGTGAGGGGTCTGCAACCGCAGGAACGAAAACACTGCAGAGCACGGCTGGAAGGGACAAGAAATATGCCAAGCCGATAATCCTAGACCCTTAACCCTGACTCAGAAGCCCTAAAAACCCTGAAACCTAAATCCAAAACAAAACACTCCAAATCCTAAACCCGAAGCGCTAAATCCCCAACCCTAAACCCTGCGGCTGGAGTATCAAAATCGATGCTTCCGCCGTATATCGACGGAATGGGCTACATTGGGTCTCCTTCTTGGGGTTTTGGGCTTTGGGTTTGGGTCCAGAGCTTCTTCTCCCAAGGGAGCCCCTGCAGGGAACCCCGCAAAGTTGGAACATGGAATTAGGATGATTAGTGCTAGCATCCCTCATACTTTGCCCTAGGACATCAGGATAATCCTATAGGACATGAGGATAACAGGTTTCCAACTTTCTGGGTGCTACTGTACATCTCCTCTACATTGCCCTTTGTACTTTAGGTTTTTGGGCTTTGGTTGCTGCATGGTGTAGGGCTCCGAGCGGAGCCATACAACCTCGAAAAGACCCCCAAACCCCGAAACTCGAACAACCCCAAACCCTTAAACCCCAAAGCCCTATGCAACCCGAAAATGCCCCTAAAAACCCTGGGCCGCCAAACCCCTAAACCCTAAACCCTAAACCCTCAAAACTTGTCGGATGCACCAGCTCGGAGATTGGACCGCGATGACCTGATCTCCCACAGTTTGGGGTCAGGGGGTTTCCGGTTTAGGGCTTAAGGGTTTAGGGTTTAGGGTTTAGGGTTTAGGGTTTAGGGTTTAGGGATCTCCGACAGTTTGGGGTCAGGGGGTTTCGGTTTAGGGCTTAAGGGTTTAGGGTTTAGGGTTTATTGTTTAGGGTTAAGGGCTTAGGGTTTAGGGTTTAGGGATCTCCGACAGCTTGGGGTCAGGGGTTTCCGGTTTAGGGCTTCAGGGTTTGGGGATGTAGGGTGTAGGGTTTAGGGCTTTAGGGCTTTAGGGCTTTAGGGTTTAGTGTGTGGGGTGTAGGGGCCTTAACAAATAGAAGAGAGTTCTGGGCTCCTTTATAGTAGAATTAGAGTAAGGATCCTAAGGAATAATATCGGCAATTATTTAGGCTTCTATAGTCTACTGACTTCTGCTAAGGAGCCCTGAGGAGTAGTGTTACCCAAAGGGTTCTATGTACTGTTATTGGAGCATACTTAATCATAATGGTAATTCATCACATAGCAACCCGACCTAGTAGGGTTTAGGGTGTAGGGTTCAGGGTTTAGGGTACATGGGACCCTTTGGCGTCAATAACGACTCAGGCTCCTATCATGGACCCTATTCTCGCTGGACCAGGAAGCTGACTGGGACCACGTTGCCTGGTGATACTGTTGATGATAAAAAAAAAACCCCTGCGTTACCTTAAGCACCCTAAACTATGGGAATTATGGTATCTTACTTCTTATGGGTAATGCAGGATTCATATCATCAACCGTAGTATTTCTGATAGTATGGCTGCAGGATCTACTGCAGGGCTTCCTGGTTTTCAGGGCATTCGGGCGTCATGGATGGACAGTAGGAACATGGGTTAAGGATGATCGGTGCTAGAATTGTTCACGCTTCACCTTGAGGGCATGACGAAAATATTGCTCCGACTTTCTGGCGTCCGCTATGACTAAATCAAAGGCTTATGCAGGAATGCCTCACTAGCAGGGCCACGACTAGCACGCAACACTACCATCACCACGACGAAAGCATGACGTAGAAGCCTAAATATTTACGATAATACTAGTCTTGAACATTTCCTTTTCGAATCAGTGTTCTAGAAGAAAACTTTACCCTAACAACCTGTCATAATTATTGAGGCCCCCCGATTTTGCCCCAGATCCTCATGTGCCGCGGCTAGGTTGCCGGCCCTGTAGCATGTCCTGACAGTGCCTCGGTGCTTCGTTGCAAAGGCGAGTCTCGGAACTGAACTCAAGGCGAAAGGTTCAGGGTTTAGCGCTCGGGGTTCTGCCACCCTAAACCCCAAACCCTTTCTAAAGCTCTACGTATTCCTTTATGGGTCTGGAGTTC